CGACCGCCCGCCCGCATCGTGGAGAGGGCCTGCTCCAGGCCTGCGCACATGCCGCCAGTGTACGGCCGGCTGCCGTACAGGAACACGATGGGTTTGCCGCGCGCGCGGGTCGACTCGAATTGGACGCCGTCAACGGTGCCCCTGCGCCAGGGAGTGAGGGGGAGGGGGAGGGGGAGGGGGAGGGGGAGGGGGAGGGGGAGGGGGAGGGGGAGGGGGAGGAGGGGGAGGGGGATAAGAGTCCAAAGAGGCAGAACAGCTGACGGGCGGGTCAGGGGGAGGGGAAGGCAGGGGAGAGGGGAGAGGGGGAGGAGACGATGCGAACATGGGATTGGGGATGGGGAAACGACAATAGGATTTCCGCGTGTGATTGGATTATCCACCGGCGGGAGTTCACTGAAGCTACGGTGACCGGGTGGCAGCTGGCTGGGTGGCAGCTGCTTCAGAGTAGCGCTTCGGCCCCTCATGCTGCAATCCAATCCAACATAATCCCATCCGAATCAAGGGACAGCTCATGGAGAGGCTTACGTACCGTATCCGAACGCGGCGCCGCGTCAGTGTGGCGCCCACATGCGTGTGTGTGCACACGACCACCACCATCACCACCACCCCCCGCCGCTCGATGGCGCCCCGATCCACGGGGTGACAGGATCACGCCCCCGCTCAGGGTAACGACTCCCAACCGCTTTCCCAACCGCTTTCCCAACCGTCACACTTACACGTAATCCACAACCGCCAGATACCCCTTGATGGGGACCTGACCGCCCCCCACCCGGAGGTCCCGGTAGCTCACTCCACTGGGGAGAACCACCTGCACGTGTGTTTGTACGACATACACAGCCACGAGCACGCACGCACGCGCAAAACACACACACCCACACGTATACACCGAGCGGAGGGAAGGGGCGCGGTTGAGCGGGTGCGTTTGGGGGGGGGAAGAGGGGGAAGCGTTGAGGCGGGAATGGAGATGTGGGGAATTGCGGAGCGTAGTGAAGGAAAGGGGGATGTGGGGTTGGGGGGTTGGGGGGTTGGGGAGGGGATGTGTCTGTGTGTTTGTGTGTATGTAGGCGGGGAAGGGGAGGCGCCAGGGAGGGAAGCATTGAGGCGGTCTTGGCTGCGCTGCGCCGTTCGTACCGTGCCGTACCTACGCCCCCCCCCCCTTCACTCCCCTTATCGCCCGCCTTCCGGGTCGTACCACACCGCCGCCGCCACCCCCACTCCAACCACACCCCACCTCGCACACCAAACAGCAGCATCCTCCCCTCTCCCCTTAACTCCGGTGCATGCCAGGCCCTCGAACTTCCAATCCCCCTCCACGTCACCCCAACCCCGACTCGTTTCCCCCCCCCTCCTCTCCAAGCCAAGACAGCCAGCCAGCCACCCACCTCCGGTGCGTCCTCCACGTCCTTCGTTCCGTTGATTTCATTCGCCACCTCCAACCGGGTCTTGATCTGCGGGGGCCCGGGGGGGGATGATGACCGGGGGGCGGGGGGGGCCAGGCGGGCGGGCGGGCGGGCGGGATTGGGGGGCCCGGGGGATGAAGGCCGGGGGGCGGAGGGGCCGGAGGGGAGGGGCGGGCGGGGTTATCCACGTATAGGCCGGAGCCCGTGAACGGTAAAAGTAACAGAAGAAGGCCGGCGGGCGGGGGGGAGTGGTTTGAGGAGAAACAGTCCCGGGGACGGTTCAGGAAACACCGTCGTGGGACGAGGGGCGGGTCGTTTCTTTGTAGTTGGTTGGTTGCCGTGGTTTCTATGTTTCCCTCCCCTTCCCCCCCCTCCTCTCCCCTCCCCTCCCCTCCCCTCCCCTCCCCTCCCCTCCCCTCCCCGGGTTGGTCGGCGGCGACGCGGCCACGCGCTCGCTTTCTTTCTGCTGGAGATAACAGGTAATCCTCAGGTAATATTCCAGGTAACTGCATTGCGCTCCCCTCGCCCCGGGCCGTTCTTATTACCCCTCCCCTCCCCTCCCCTCCCCTGCCCTTCCCTTCCCTTCCCTTCCCTCCCCTCCCCTTCCCTCCTCTCCTCTCCCCTCCCCTCCCCTCCCCTTCCCTTCCCTTCCCTTCCCTTCCCTTCCCTTCCCTTCCCTTCCCTTCCCTTCCCTTCCCTTCCCTTCCCTCTCCTCCCCTCCCCTTCCCTTCCCTTCCCTTCCCTTCCCCACCACACCCCACCTTTCCCCTCCCCCTCCCCCTATTCGGATTGTTCTGCGTTACCCCTCACGTTGGCCCCCACCCCTCACTCTCCTTCCTCCTCCCTCCCCTCCTTCGCCCCTCCCCTCCCCGCCTCCCCACCTCCCCTCCCCGCCTCCCCACCTCCCCTCCCGGCTCACCCCCTCTAACCCCTCTCCCACCTGCTCCCCCAGGGTTCCAATCGCCAGGAAGCCCAGCCAAGCAAGACCACCCGCAATCCTGAGGAGCACGGGAACGAGGGGACAACGAGGGGAGCATGAGGAGACAACGAGGGGACAACGAGGGGAGAATGAAGACGAAACCGCAACGATGGGATGGGAGAAGCGGACGCATGAGCGGAGCATGAGGGGGGCTCGGGAAGGGGTATTCGGGTAAGGGGGGGTGTCGCGCGAGTGTGGAAAGACAGGGTTACGGGTTTTAGGGTTTTTGTGGTAATGGGGTTTTGCGGAGGGAAAGAGCACGGCTACACCCCGACGTGGTCGTCTGCCGTTCCGGCGGGTACCGTTTGAAGTACCGTCGTTGTTTTTCTAACGGGTGGGGTAAGGGTGCGGAGGGAAGGGGAGCGGGGGAAGGGGGATCAAGGATGTGGCCGCAGCAGGGGACCGGTGGCGAGGTTGGTGCCGTTCCAGGGGTTGGGTTGGTGGTGGTGGTGGTGGGGGTGGTGGTGGTGGGGGTCATCCACGTATGGGCCGGAGCCCGTGAACGGTCGGGTGGTGGTGGTGGTGGTGGTGGTGGTGCAGCAAGCAGCCGCCATGCAGTCAGCGGGCAGGGTTCATGTGGTCACCAAGGCCATCACCAAGGCCCCGCACGTTTACGTTTGTTTCGATGCCTTGGATGCATTCGGGGGCAGCCACCCCGGCGCATCACCGCTGCGGGGCTATCAGCGCGCCGCCGGCGGCGGGGTTGATGGGGTTTTAGGGTCACGCACCCGACGGATGCACGAGGGGCAATGCACGCACTGGACTCAACACACACGCACACACACGCACCCACCCACCCGAATCGGCGCGTCAGGAAGGTGGCTACAGCGTCCGTGGAGTCTGCCTGCCGGCCCGACCGCTTCTTGCTGCGCGTCGCGGCGGCGATGACGTCTGAGGGCCGCTCGCCCGCCTGTACCGCCTGCTGCTGCTGTTGCTGCTCCGATTGGGTGGCGGTTGAGGAGGTGGTTGAGGTGACGGTTGCTGGCTCCGCCACGTCAACTTTTGACTCCGGAGCGCTCTGCGGCGGAGGCAGCAGCCGTCGCTGTCGCCTGGAGGGCAGAAGGGCGGGATCCCCAGCGCGGCAGCGCTGAGACCCGCCTGTGATTCGGGTTCGGAGATGGGGCCCGGGGATGCGTTTAGTAGCATCTTGCACGTTTAATGAATGACCGACGGAACGACGCGATGTAACTAAGAAAAACAGATATCCAAATGCGCAAGTTGTGTTGTCATTCAAGCTCGGGGGCTTGCATGCCCCGTCAGGTGATGAGAATCCTCACGGGTCGACTGATAATCAGTATACTACTACATTCACTCGTCTCTTCAGCGCGTCCTCCAGGTGGCCAGGTTGGACATTTTCGTCTGCGTCGCTGCTAATTTAACTCGGCGCCTTACGCTTGTCTATGTACCTGAGACGCGGTTATGCAGACAGTTTGTATGCATAGCCGAATGAATCATTCTCCGTTGTCGCTCCTCAGCCTGGACAGGTGCAGCGGTGCAAGTGCTGAAATCGCAAGACACCGGGGCACCGTATGGTATGATATATGTCTCCTACGACAAGCCAGACGGCACAAGCAAAGCCATAATATTCCTTCTGCATTCGAGTGTGCCTCTCTCTCCTACGTCGCTACGGGTGCAAAAGTGTGGTCGTCGTAGCAGCTCGTCGTACAATCCATGTTTTACGTGCACGCGGCCGCGCTGTACAGAACTCATGCCGTCTTGATGGAAACCTAATGTAGCAATACCGTAAACTCATGGGGCCATTACAAGCCGCGCATATGTGAGAGATATATAGATGCGACCTTTTTTGCTGGCCCCCCGACCAACCCCGACCTACCCCGGCCCGTCATTATGTCGCTACAGGGTACGGTTTACTAGCAACTGCTTGCTCGCTACGTACGCAGCTACGCACTCGAAACCTGGCGCACGCTGCATCATCCCATGCATCATCCCACGCATGCATCATCCCGTCGCTCGGTGGGCCGATCTGGCACCATGCATGCATGGATTGCATTATTTGGACAGCATTCCGCACGACTTCGTTCCTTTATCGTGCGCCCCGTGCGTCCCCTCACGCATACAGACTGCAGCAAACCGGCTTATATGTAGATAAAGTACGTAGACATTCGTAATGTATGTATACTCGGTACTTGCACCCCCAGACATTGTTTAGTTATACATGCATAGATATGAGACCTACGCGCTAACCAACTGCGCCACCTCCGCAGCTTGCCGTACACCGGGGTGAACAAGCACCCGGGTTGCCACCTAACCATCGAGCTGCCACCACCCAGCCCCACCTCTCCTTTCGCGCTCGTTCCAACTTGTCGCCTTACCTTGCCCCCAGTCGCAATCCCCATCCTCGCCCTGATTTGCATTCGGTTTCCACCACCACCCTCGCTCACACCACCTCCCTCCGTCCTACACTTGATTTCACCTCTGACCACCCTATCTAACAACCTTTCTGGAGAACTGCCATTTACTTCTCTTCTACTGTTGTCACTGCTGCTTGTAAAGGTGCCCTCGCAAAGTGCCGAGCCTGCTCAATCAACGTGCACCTGTCCTCAATAAGCACACTTGGCCAGGACTTGGCAATGATGGCTCTACAGCATAAGCTGTGGACTTGCGGAGAGAGGGGTTCGAACCCTCGACCTTAGTATGTCCCAAGTCATACAGAGTATATGAGACCTACGCGCTAACCATCTGCGCCACCTCCGCAGCTTGCCGTACACCGGGGTGAACAAGCACCCGGGTTGCCACCTAACTATCGAGCTGCCACCACCCAGCCCCACCTCTCCTTTCGCGCTCGTTCCAACTTGTCGCCTTACCTTGCCCCCAGTCGCAATCCCCATCCTCGCCCTGATTTGCATTCGGTTTCCACCACCACCCTCGCTCACACCACCTCCCTCCGTCCTACACTTGATTTCACCTCTGACCACCCTATCTAACAACCTTTCTGGAGAACTGCCATTTACTTCTCTTCTACTGTTGTCACTGCTGCTTTTAAAGGTGCCCTCGCAAAGTGCCGAGCCTGCTCAATCAACGTGCACCTGTCCTCAATAAGCACACTTGGCCAGGACTTGGCAATGATGGCTCTACAGCATAAGCTGTGGGCTTGCGGAGAGAGGGGTTCGAACCCTCGACCTTAGGATATCCCAAGTCATACAGAATATATGAGACCTACGCGCTAGCCAACTGCGCCACCTCCGCAGCTTGCCGTACACCGGGGTGAACAAGGACCCGGGTTGCCACCCAACCATCGAGCTGCCACCACCCAGCCCCACCTCTCCTTTCGCGCTCGTTCCAACTTGTCGCCTTACCTTGCCCCCAGTCGCAATCCTCATCCTCGCCCTGATTTGCATTCGGTTTCCACCACCACCCTCGCTCACACCACCTCCCTCCGTCCTACACTTGATTTCACCTCTGACCACCCTATCTAACAACCTTTCTGGAGAACTGCCATTTACTTCTCTTCTACTGTTGTCACTGCTGCTTTTAAAGGTGCCCTAGCAAAGTGCCGAGCCTGCTCAATCAACGTGCACCTGTCCTCAATAAGCACACTTGGCCAGGACTTGGCAATGATGGCTCTACAGCATAAGCTGTGGGCTTGCGGAGAGAGGGGTTCGAACCCTCGACCTTAGGATATCCCAAGTCATACAGAATATATGAGACCTACGCGCTAACCAACTGCGCCACCTCCGCAGCTTGCCGTACACCGGGGTGAACAAGCACCCGGGTTGCCACCCAACCATCGAGCTGCCACCACCCAGCCCCACCTCTCCTTTCGCGCTCGTTCCAACTTGTCGCCTTACCTTGCCCCCAGTCGCAATCCTCATCCTCGCCCTGATTTGCATTCGGTTTCCACCACCACCCTCGCTCACACCACCTCCCTCCGTCCTACACTTGATTTCACCTCTGACCACCCTATCTAACAACCTTTCTGGAGAACTGCCATTTACTTCTCTTCTACTGTTGTCACTGCTGCTTTTAAAGGTGCCCTAGCAAAGTGCCGAGCCTGCTCAATCAACGTGCACCTGTCCTCAATAAGCACACTTGGCCAGGACTTGGCAATGATGGCTCTACAGCATAAGCTGTGGACTTGCGGAGAGAGGGGTTCGAACCCTCGACCTTAGGATGTCCCAAGTCATACAGAGTATATGAGACCTACGCGCTAACCAACTGCGCCACCTCCGCAGCTTGCCGTACACCGGGGTGAACAAGCACCCGGGTTGCCACCCAACCATCGAGCTGCCACCACCCAGCCCCACCTCTCCTTTCGCGCTCGTTCCAACTTGTCGCCTTACCTTGCCCCCAGTCGCAATCCCCATCCTCGCCCTGATTTGCATTCGGTTTCCACCACCACCCTCGCTCACACCACCTCCCTCCGTCCTACACTTGATTTCACCTCTGACCACCCTATCTAACAACCTTTCTGGAGAACTGCCATTTACTTCTCTTCTACTGTTGTCACTGCTGCTTTTAAAGGTGCCCTAGCAAAGTGCCGAGCCTGCTCAATCAACGTGCACCTGTCCTCAATAAGCACACTTGGCCAGGACTTGGCAATGATGGCTCTACAGCATAAGCTGTGGACTTGCGGAGAGAGGGGTTCGAACCCTCGACCTTAGGATGTCCCAAGTCATACAGAGTATATGAGACCTACGCGCTAACCAACTGCGCCACCTCCGCAGCTTGCCGTACACCGGGGTGAACAAGCACCCGGGTTGCCACCCAACCATCGAGCTGCCACCACCCAGCCCCACCTCTCCTTTCGCGCTCGTTCCAACTTGTCGCCTTACCTTGCCCCCAGTCGCAATCCCCATCCTCGCCCTGATTTGCATTCGGTTTCCACCACCACCCTCGCTCACACCATCTCCCTCCGTCCTACACTTGATTTCACCTCTGACCACCCTATCTAACAACCTTTCTGGAGAACTGCCATTTACTTCTCTTCTACTGTTGTCACTGCCGCTTGTAAAGGTGCCCTCGCAAAGTGCCGAGCCTGCTCAATCAGCGTGCACCTGTCATCAATAAGCACACTTGGCCAGGACTTGGCAATGATGGCTCTACAGCATAAGCTGTGGACTTGCGGAGAGAGGGGTTCGAACCCTCGACCTTAGGATGTCCCAAGTCATACAGAGTATATGAGACCTACGCGCTAACCAACTGCGCCACCTCCGCAGCTTGCCGTACACCGGGGTGAACAAGCACCCGGGTTGCCACCCAACCATCGAGCTGCCACCACCCAGCCCCACCTCTCCTTTCGCGCTCGTTCCAACTTGTCGCCTTACCTTGCCCCCAGTCGCAATCCCCATCCTCGCCCTGATTTGCATTCGGTTTCCACCACCACCCTCGCTCACACCACCTCCCTCCGTCCTACACTTGATTTCACCTCTGACCACCCTATCTAACAACCTTTCTGGAGAACTGCCATTTACTTCTCTTCTACTGTTGTCACTGCTGCTTGTAAAGGTGCCCTCGCAAAGTGCCGAGCCTGCTCAATCAGCGTGCACCTGTCATCAATAAGCACACTTGGCCAGGACTTGGCAATGATGGCTCTACAGCATAAGCTGTGGGCTTGCGGAGAGAGGGGTTCGAACCCTCGACCTTAGGATATCCCAAGTCATACAGAGTATATGAGACCTACGCGCTAACCAACTGCGCCACCTCCGCAGCTTGCCGTACACCGGGGTGAACAAGCACCCCGGGTTGCCACTCAACCATCGAGCTGCCACCACCCAGCCCCACCTCTCCTTTCGCGCTCGTTCCAACTTGTCGCCTTACCTTGCCCCCAGTCGCAATCCCCATCCTCGCCCTGATTTGCATTCGGTTTCCACCACCACCCTCGCTCACACCACCTCCCTCCGTCCTACACTTGATTTCACCTCTGACCACCCTATCTAACAACCTTTCTGGAGAACTGCCATTTACTTCTCTTCTACTGTTGTCACTGCCGCTTGTAAAGGTGCCCTCGCAAAGTGCCGAGCCTGCTCAATCAGCGTGCACCTGTCATCAATAAGCACACTTGGCCAGGACTTGGCAATGATGGCTCTACAGCATAAGCTGTGGGCTTGCGGAGAGAGGGGTTCGAACCCTCGACCTTAGGATATCCCAAGTCATACAGAGTATATGAGACCTACGCGCTAACCAACTGCGCCACCTCCGCAGCTTGCCGTACACCGGGGTGAACAAGCACCCCGATTGCCACTCAACCATCGAGCTGCCACCACCCAGCCCCACCTCTCCTTTCGCGCTCGTTCCAACTTGTCGCCTTACCTTGCCCCCAGTCGCAATCCCCATCCTCGCCCTGATTTGCATTCGGTTTCCACCACCACCCTCGCTCACACCATCTCCCTCCGTCCTACACTTGATTTCACCTCTGGCCACCCTATCTAACAACCTTTCTGGAGAACTGCCATTTACTTCTCTTCTACTGTTGTCACTGCTGCTTTTAAAGGTGCCCTAGCAAAGTGCCGAGCCTGCTCAATCAACGTGCACCTGTCCTCAATAAGCACACTTGGCCAGGACTTGGCAATGATGGCTCTACAGCATAAGCTGTGGACTTGCGGAGAGAGGGGTTCGAACCCTCGACCGTAGGATATCCCAAGTCATACAGAGTATATGAGACCTACGCGCTAACCAACTGCGCCACCTCCGCAGCTTGCCGTACACCGGGGTGAACAAGCACCCGGGTTGCCACTCAACCATCGAGCTGCCACCACCCAGCCCCACCTCTCCTTTCGCGCTCGTTCCAACTTGTCGCCTTACCTTGCCCCCAGTCGCAATCCCCATCCTCGCCCTGATTTGCATTCGGTTTCCACCACCACCCTCGCTCACACCACCTCCCTCCGTCCTACACTTGATTTCACCTCTGACCACCCTATCTAACAACCTTTCTGGAGAACTGCCATTTACTTCTCTTCTACTGTTGTCACTGCTGCTTGTAAAGGTGCCCTCGCAAAGTGCCGAGCCTGCTCAATCAGCGTGCACCTGTCCTCAATAAGCACACTTGGCCAGGACTTGGCAATGATGGCTCTACAGCATAAGCTGTGGGCTTGCGGAGAGAGGGGTTCGAACACTCGACCTTAGGATATCCCAAGTCATACAGAGTATATGAGACCTACGCGCTAACCAACTGTGCCACCTCCGCAGCTTGCCGTACACCGGGGTGAACAAGCACCCGGGTTGCCACTCAACCATCGAGCTGCCACCACCCAGCCCCACCTCTCCTTTCGCGCTCGTTCCAACTTGTCGCCTTACCTTGCCCCCAGTCGCAATCCCCATCCTCGCCCTGATTTGCATTCGGTTTCCACCACCACCCTCGCTCACACCACCTCCCTCCGTCCTACACTTGATTTCACCTCTGACCACCCTATCTAACAACCTTTCTGGAGAACTGCCATTTACTTCTCTTCTACTGTTGTCACTGCTGCTTGTAAAGGTGCCCTCGCAAAGTGCCGAGCCTGCTCAATCAACGTGCACCTGTCCTCAATAAGCACACTTGGCCAGGACTTGGCAATGATGGCTCTACAGCATAAGCTGTGGGCTTGCGGAGAGAGGGGTTCGAACCCCCGACCTTAAGATGTCCCAAGTCATACAGAGTATATGAGACCTACGCGCTAACCAACTGCGCCACCTCCGCAGCTTGCCGTACACCGGGGTGAACAAGCACCCCGGTTGCCACTCAACCATCGAGCTGCCACCACCCAGCCCCACCTCTC